GTACGTTCGGCGTCGCAGCAGAACCGGGGACGGCTCGAGCAACGCTTCGTTCTCTGATATCAATCGCGATATATGTTCTTCGACGGCTTTCGAGTTCGGAACCGACCGGTGCACCAACAGTCGACCGCCGACACCCGGGGCCGCCATCGCCATCGACAGCGACAGCGGATCGTCCATTTTCGACGACACAGCGACCAGCGGCGTTTTGGTACCGCCGACAAGCATCGGTCGGGATACAACCACACTGGCGGATGGCGTCGCCGTCGCCAAACTTCCTGGTTCTGTCCTGCCGTTGCCGCCGCTGCACATCGTACCCGTAACTGAGACACCAGAATTTGTACATTCACCGGCGCAGCTCTGATCGTCGGTCGTCAAGTTCGGCTTGATAAACGACGAATTACATTTCGAGCCAGCATCGCGGTTCAACGCCTTCGAGTCTTGAATACCAGAGCCGGATAGTCCGACGGCGGCAGGCATGCAGTACGAAGAAAATCTAGAGGGCAACGGGGTCAGCAAGCAAGGGTACGGCAACGTCGTGAAATACTGGTTGCCTCCGCCGGCGCCGCTCGCGACACCAACCGCCGATGGAATCGGGCTGGACGCGGCGGCGGCTGCCGCGATGCGTGCCAACGCAGCGTTGTACTGTTGCTGCAAGATCAAACGAGAAAGTCCTTCCCTGCAAAGTATCTGGCTACCGCCGGCCGGCGGAAAGCACGAACCCGTACCGGCAACGTGCGACGGCATGCAGCCCTCAGCGGCAACGTACAACTGCTGTTGTGGGGATACGGACGGCAGGCTGCAAGGCGGCGCTAACGACATCCGTTTCGTGTACGAATCGTACATGTCACCAGAATGAGGCGCCGCGTGAGGCAGCGACTCGACACACGGCGACGTCCGAGGCGACGGCGTAAGATCTATGACGAGGCGATCTTCGCAGTCCACTTTGTCGTTCGGAACGATCGTCCGTTCGAAATGAAATCCGTGATTGCGCCATACCTCGTCCGCGTGACGGCCAGAGCTCTGAACGTGAAGCAAAAGCGAATTTATATTTGAATATGCTTGGCTGCAAGCTGAACATCGAAACACGCAATTTTCGGTAGAGAATGAATCCATAAAGCGACGCTTTCAGTGTTACACCTAAATTAAGTCTCGTCAAATAACTGTTTATATTGATTTCGGTTCTTGACTATTTAGTTCATACGTTGGGGGTCACTTGAAGTGCAGTCATCAAACTGAAATCA